GTGAGCTTCACAGAAGTGACGGCGCTGATACCCAATCACACAACAAAAGACGGTGGGCCACTCAGGAGCTTGTGGACAGTCTAAACTCAGGGAACAGGCTTCAACTTGAGCTACGGTTTTCCCCTAGTCTTAGTGCTCAACAAATTTCTGTGTACTGTAGCGTAACATTGTATTTGGACAGTAAAAACTGCAGGGGACCAGAATGGATGTTTGAAAAAGTGGAGGGGACATGTCCCCCTGGTCCCCCCCGAAAATTGCGTCCATGCTGTCCATGCTTTTTTTATGACAGACATTTTTATTTTATTTTTTTTTTTTTTACTTTGTTTTTATCTAATTTAAGTCCTCTGAGTCTGTGTATCAGTTTGCTGTTGGTCATTTTACAGCAGTTTAGCCCTTAGGATATTTTAAAGTGCTTTATAAATAAAATTGTTTGGATTTTGAGTTTAAAATGCATTTCAGCTGATTTAGAAATGGGAAAGCTTATTGCAAAGAAAAATCAACAGATATAAAAGAAATCATTTATGAAGGAAAGCAGAGCAAAATGCACAGGTGTGCTCTTCGCAGCACAGCAGTGTTCCAGGACAGTCTGTACTGCTCTGTTTGTGTACACAAAGACACCACATTGACCACTGTTTGCCTCCAAAGCCTGCTTGGTGTCATTCAGGGGTTTCCAATTCTGCACTGCAGTCCCTGAAGTATTTTCTGAGCCTCCACAGGGACGTGAACACAACACAGTTTCTCATCTAGGTAGATTGAAGAAACATCACCATTTTGACATCTGATCTATTATTCATAGAGGGTGGAAGGCTGGTTTTGACATTTGTAATTAAGTTCTTTTTTGCCCGACTTGTATCTGTGGTGTTCTTTTTGATCTGATTTGTTTTAAATGATAAATTATTTCAAATTAATATGAAAATAAAGACTGAGTCTTAGCACACACATTTCATTGTCATCTTTATAATTAATTATGTTACTTATCATCAAAAGGAGGGTTGTGAAAAAAGGTTTTAGGTTTTTGAACCTCAGGATCAAATTTTTATGTTTTTGTAGATGATGTGGTTTTATTGCTGCATTTAAGCTGTGATATTTAGCCTGTTCTAGAGCAATCCACAATCAAGCATAAATCACTGCAATAATCTCTATCTGTCAAATGTAGTGATAAATATATTCTCATTCGACCAATTTGATTATTCAAAGCAAGAAATATATACAAGCAAACATATATTTCATTGTCTTATAACTCTTTACCCTCGAGCCACTAGTTAGCAGTGCACCACCTGAGAGCTTATTATTCAGCTGCTCTGCACCAGCCAATTTATAAAAATCACAAAGTACTTTGTTAATGTCTTCTGGATATAACATCATAAATCGTTTCATTATACACGTATCCTGATGTGTATCTATTGCCAAAGTCTTGCCAATTCACTATTCATTGTACCACCCAAAAGGAGTAGTTTACAAAGGCTTAAAAAAGCTCAACAAGCTAATTAAGAAGGGCAGCTCTGTTCTAGGAACTCCTCTAGAACCTCTGGAGATTATTTCACAAAGAAGAATTCTTCATAAAGTGAAGCCCATTATTTACAAAGTGAGCATCATCTGAAGAAGATTTTGCAACAACAACAGTGTCTTCCATAAGAGGCTTCTGCAGATCAGGTGCAAGACAGACCGCTGCAGAAGATCCTTCCTGCACACTGCTATTAACACTTGCTTAAAAATCAACCTGTGAGTTACCTCAACATCTAATTTCCCTTTGGGATTATTAAAGTATTTTTGGATTGAATTAAATTGAATTGAACTGGGATCTTTGATAGTAAAAAATTGTGGTATATTAATTTTTCACTGTGTTTTTGCTTAAGCCTCTGCCTCAAGTTAATAGACAAGTTCAATGGGTATTTCCAGTTAATTTCCACCTCCAAGCAAGTACTTTGTTAAGTGCATTGCAGTAGAAGGGAATGCTGGGATAATTTGAAAAGCTTATTGTTGCTTATATGGCAACAAAGTTGGCTGGGTGTTAATGCACACAATTTGGTGAACATGGAGGCAGATGTTCAACCAAGCTAGTGTCTAAATGATTCCTAATGCTGTGGTGGTCAAAGAGTCATGCAGCGAAGCAGCTGCTGTCCTATCGCCACAGTTTTTCCCGTTACCCCGATGCAATTTTGAACAAAATATATATATTAATGCCAATGTTCAATCATAATGCTCTTTTTTCCATTATTCTTATAGACTCAAGCTCAAAATCATAAAGAGAAGAAGGCATTCATACCAGAGGCTCACTCGTCCATTCAGACCACTCTTTGTTACATGATTCAGAAACATCAACCAATAAGGCTTATTACAGGGATGGTTAGTTCTAAACTAAGTGGTGTAGAGGTGGATCTGGTTCTTTTTACTCCTCCTGTAATAACATGCTGCTGCGGGGAAGACTCTGCTAGAGCATCTATATATATATATATATATATATATATATATATATATATATATAAAACTATATATATAAATCTAAATATTCATCTATATAAATACCCATGTAAACGTCCTTTGCAAATCCCGATATAATGATCCTACTATTTAAAAAAAAATGAAAAAAGCTTTCATATGTGGTCACATTGTATATACGTATATATATATAAAGAGGTTTCTAGAATTTCCTTCTTTCATCTGAGGAACATTGCAAAAATTAGAAATAACCTGTCCAGGGGTGATGCTGAGAAACTAGTCCATGCATTTGTTACTTCAAGGCTGGACTATTGTAATTCTTTACTTTCAGGAAGTCCACAAACT